TTTTTTGAAAAAAAAAGTCTAACTCGGCTCCAAAAGGGCATAGAATTTTTTTTAATGTGTGTTTTTTAATTGGCTATACAATCACACTTTTAATAATTAATTGCACGGTATTGAAATAATCTAAATGTTTATTAAAAAAAGTAGTAAAATGTAAAATTTTAATGTAAAAATCAAACGGGCCCCTGGCAATAAATCAAAATTCCATCTACATACAAAACTAAGTTAGGTTTTAAGCTTTACAAATCGACTTTCTAAATCTAAACCCTTCTTTGTTTTGCAAAAACTATTTCGGACAGTTTTGAAGAACAATAAAACTCACAACTTTTAGGCACATTTATAAAATTCCAACAAATAACAACCAAGTTATGAATAATTAAATAAATGCTGTTCTTCCACGTTCTTTGAAATAACTTTTCAACAATTTATACGATTTTAATCTCTCAGGCAGTATTTTGTAGGTCTTTTTATTGCGCATATTTCGTCTATTGAACACTTCCTCTAAATCCAATATATTGGAAAACCTGATTTTCGATCCTAATTGTTTAAAAAAAAAACAAAGTTGCTAGGGAATAAAATTGACTCACGAGGTAAGACACCTTTTCTACTGCCCTCCTCTGCATATTTCAATAATAAAATAGCAGACGTTAATTCATCGATGTTCAAAAATTATAGCGACGCGACTAAAACTGCATTTTCTGTAGCCTTCTATATTTTAATAATCAATTTGGTTTCAGAAACAGTCTTTCAACAACTCTAGCCATTGAGAAACTGACTAGTGTTATAAATTCTGCTTTTGAGCAAAGACAATTTATATGTTCACAATTTTTAGACCTTACCAAAGCTTTTGACTGTGTGTCCTATGAAACTCTTACAATGCTTTACAATTCAGAGTACCGATTTAATAACATCATATCTTACCAATAGGCAACAATATGTAACCCAAAACAATGACAGGTCTACTTATCTCACTCTTAGTGCAGGAGTACCACAGGGGTCCGTGCTTGGGCCTGTACTATTCCTGATTTACGTGAATGATTTGTCACGTTCCATTGATAATTCTTTATTAACTATTCAGTTTGCAGATGACACTAATATCACGGGTCAAGGGCTTGAACTGACCGAGCTCCTAGATCGAACCAAACAAGCCGAGTTAATGATGCAGGATTGGTTTCTTTCGAATCATCTAAGCCTAAATAGAGCTAAGACAGAAACCATGATATTTAGTTTGCGGGATATTGATCTCTTGGAAAATCCGAAATCTGTCAAATTTCTGGGAGTATATTTAGACCCTAAGCTATTATGGAATCACCATACAACGCATGTTTGCAATAAATTATCAAAAAACCTGTATTTGCTACGTAATTTGACTCATCAAGTATCAGTATAAACTTTGGTTACAGCATACCATGGCCTCATTCATTATGTTTTATCTTATGCCATACTAATATGGGGTCATGCTACTTCAGCTTGTAGTGTATTCAGCTTGCAAAGAAAAGCTATAAGAATAATATCAGGACTTAAATACAAAGATGACTGTAGACAGCAATTTATTTTGTTGAAAATTCTAACACTCCCTTGTGTATATATATATTACAGTGTTTGCTGTATGTAAAGAGTCATATCGTAATGTATCCAGCTCGTAGTGAAATTCACTGTCACGGTACTAGATATAAAGAGATGCTTAATAATGCGTACCTGAGGCTTGGTAGAACAAGAAATGGAACAGCATACTGGGGTGTTAAATTGTATAACGTTTTACCACATGAAATAAAAACTAAAATTTTATTAGTTTTAAGCGTAACGTGAAACAATTTTTATTAAGACATGCTTTCTATAGCATAGATGAATTTTTAAATACAAATACGCAGTAGATGCATCCCATCAGTTTCCGGTCTATTCTTGTTTTAGTTATTTGTTGCTTTATTTATCTTATTATGTTGCATCTATGCATTCTAGTTATCAGTCTTTACTGTATGTTTACGTTTGACTATTTATGTTAATGTTTGTATTGTATCTAATTTGTATGTGTGTTTTACATTTTGATTTTGTATTTTTAGACGTTAGATTTTAATCTTACTCTTACTATAATAGGACTCTATGTTTCCCCTTTCTTTGTTTTTTGACTTGTGTACATACTTTTGTATACCTAGCACCAATAAACTAAACTAAACTAAACTAAACTAAACTAAGAGGCAAATATTCTTCATGACTTAAAAATATATTTCACTTTCCACTTCATTTTTACCTAAAAACTTGAGTCGTAATATTTTTACAAATATTCGCATAATTTCTGAAGACGGCAGGTATAACAAATGCGATGGGCAGAACTTTCGATACTTTTTTCTGGTTTTTAAGATACATATTAATTTATTGTAAATGTCACGCAAATATTTTTCATAAATTTCAACAATATTTTGAAGCAATTTTCGAGAAAATATTGTTCTATACATAGCTGCGAAGTAGTATTCTCGAATAGTTTTTTTCGGTTCGCAAAAAACGCCCCATTGTTGTATACAACAGCGATACTTCGCAACCTAGGATCAAAAATAACTATTGATGGTGTTTTCTAAATTTTTCTATACCACATTTTGTTGTGCTTTGGTCCTTTCCAGACACACCCACTGATACCGTTGTTATAAATTTGCTCTCTATAAAAAAATGGAATTCCTAAACTTTTTTAACACAGGTGTGGGCATATTAGAAATGTTTTGTTGATTTTACTAAAGAATACTTCAATGGTTACCAGTAAGTGTGTCATAGGTCTTTTTTATACTTACTTTGTTTCAAATAAAACTAAATTTGTTCTACGTTAATGGGTTAGAGTGGAATATTTTCGCCAACTTTCTTATCAAGAGTAGGGGAAGTCGTGAAGTCGATCATTATCAATACTTTTTGCAATTCTTATGTCTGCATCTTTAACAGAAACTATTTCCATGCTAATTGACAGGACATAATCGAGAACAGATGCAATAACCCAAAGAGTACTATTAAAATTTAATATCATCGATCGTTAATAATTTATAGTAAAAAATTCGGTTAATGTAACATAAAATGCAGAAATATTGTAATATCACTGCTAGACATTTCAAACGATATTAAAATTATAAATGATTATGATACCTTGAGTTGCTAATATTTATACAGGATGTTTACAAATTTGGAGAGGATATTTGAGGTGAAAATAAATCGAGGTACCTACTAAAACTCAATTAACAGAAATATTATTCGCAAATATATTTTTTTATACCTACCTTTCAGCTGTAGGCAATTCATGGAACGCTCTTCGTATTCGAGCAATCAAATACTCTTTTGAAGCAACAGGTGTAGAATAAACTTTTTACTTTATTACTCCCTAAACATAAAAATCTAATGGAGTGAGGTCGGGAGACCTGGCCAATTCCACGGTCCTAGGCGTCTCATCCATCTATCTTCAAACATTTCAGTCAGTTGTTGATCGATTTGAGTGTGACAATGAGGTGGAGCCCCGTCTAATTGATACCAACACTTCCTTAGTTGATCTAAAGGTATATCATCTAGAAAATCTGCCACAACTGTTTGCAAAATATTGAGATATCTGTCGGCATTTAAATTTTCTTCGTAGATATGGTAAGAAATTTGGTTATCTTTAATTAGACAAAAAACATTTACGCTAAATTTATTTTGAAAGTTTCTTTCCCGGATAACATGAGGATTTTCAGATGACCACAAATGAGCATTATATCTATTAAAAATACATTCTCTCTTAAATTTTGATTCATCTGTCCATATAATATGTTGCAAAAATGTGGATCTTCTTGGTACCGCACTAACATTGTTTCACAAAATTGTACACGTTGCACGGCGTCACCCGGATGAAGAGCAGATAGCAGCTCGTGAAATGCCTAAATCATACTCTGCGGCACGAGTTGAGGATTCTAGATGAACATTAAAATAGGCTAAGCACATTTATTACATTATCTACATTTGAAGTTAATGGTTTTGGTAAAATTCTTTCTGCACAAATTCGACCATATTCTAGTTGATTTGCTAAAATTCTTCTTAACTTTTTTCTGCTCATTGGTGGCAAATTTTGATATGCCAGTCTTATTAAAAATTGTACATGTTCTGCTTGTAATCCCATTGCAACATCCGTGAATGAATAATAATTCATTCCATTTGAATATGTATTGTTTTCCATTTCTTATAAACACTAAATTAAACTGTCACTGCAAGATACTAACAACAAATTGACAGTTTAGTTGTTTGTTTTGAAGTTTTGCTAAAAGTTCCACAGCTATCCTCGCAAGAAATTACATGATTTTAGGTGATTACACAAAAAATAGTAGATATCTTAAAAACTAGAAGAGATAGGTATAGGGAACCCTGATACCGTTCGAAAGAGAATAAAAGTGTGTATCAGAATATAGAAAAACATACAGGGTGTTCCATTTAAAAAAAATGACTTACGAAGATTTGAAGTTAACTAAACTTGGCATTAAATTTCTAGCACCCTGTATGCAATTAAGCCACTTTGAAAGTATGAATGGGAAGCTTAAGGGGCTAGCTATCCCCTCTATAAATATAGTTGCTTTATCTTTCTTACTATAAAATACACATGGTTTAAAGCTAGTCACTGTTTCTCTCCATTTTTTTGAAAAAAATTAAATATATCGAAAACGGTTAATTTTAAAAATAGGGAAACTTCATAAAAGTCCACCTAAAATAACACGTAAAATCCAAAATTGCAGTAATATATAGGGTGTTCCATTTAAAATAAACAAGTTAGAGATAGTCTGAAATAATTCTAATGGGCCGTCACTGTGAGATACCCTGTATAAAAGCATTAGTATCAGTCCCCATTGTATTCATCGTTATCCGTCGTACTTGAAAATAGCAAAGTGTTATATAGCATAATGTTGTCACTGTTCACAACATAGTTTAGCTATTAAACATTTATAACCTTTTACTGTTGTAGAAGATACTTTCTCATGAGACTAACATAATTTCTCTCTTTGTTGCAGATGATGCCATCTAAAAATGCCAGTGCTACTTCTAAGAGAGTTGTCCTCAACATCCCTGTCCGCATTAGTGGAAAAAGCCCAAAAGAAATCTCCACCCCTCCCAGAGTACGACCTCCAGTTGAACAATGGTCACCTTGACTTGATCCTCCTAACCAAACCAGATAGGAAAATCAATTCAACCTCCACCGATGAAGGTTTCGAATCGGACATAGACAGTTTATCGATAGTGTCTAGTGATAACGACAGTTTTACCATAGAGAAACACTCGGAAAGTGCCTCGAAAACGACTGAAACCGATTCTGCCAACGGTTCCTCCAGCTCAGACTCCGATACTGAAGTTGCAGAAACGAAAAGCTCAGAAACAAACCGCTCAAACTCTGAAAACCCCAAACAAGACCAACAGTCTAATGAAGACTACTCCTTGGAGAAAACAGTAGAGCACTTCAATCTAGTCGACTGCATTTGCTACACTGACGTCAAATGTACTGACATCCTCATCTTCGTGATAAAACGAGAGGCGTTTGTGTTCAAATTCGACAACATTACAAACTTGCAGAACTTTTATACGAATTTCACCACTCTCAAAGCCGTAGCTAATCAGAAAGCCTACAACAAGAACTTCACCTCGAAGTTCAACCTCCTGCAAAGAACTGACCAGAATGGTGTAACTCACATTGAAATCACCAGGGAAGCTGATCCTAGGCTGGCGAAAGACGAAGGACCTAGTAGCATTATAAGCATCAACACCCCGGAGGACATTTTTCAAAAGTTCTCGAAGAACTTCGACAAGATCAAAGATGTGAATTCAAGGCAAAGGGCGGAAAGCAAATATATCAACGACATCAAGTATAACACTATAAATTCAAAATTAGGTCCAAAGGCAAAAATTATCACTAAATCTAACTCCATTGAGAACATCTTGGATTTAGACCAGTATAAGTCGAATCTAGTCAACACGAACAAGGATAACAACTTGAAGAAGATCTGGAACAGTGCCGAGAACCTCCTGGAACCGCCCAAGCGACCAGAACGGAGGAAAAAATTAAAAGGAAAGGCACCACAACCTCCAAAAATGATAGAAGAAAAACAAGACGTGCTCAGTGGTCAATACGTAAGAGTGAACGTCAACTTCGACACAGCTAAAGACTTAGACAAAAACAGGTTGATCATCAAGAGTTCCTTAAATGAACCACACCCCAAGAAGCTGCAAAATTTCAACATCTTAAGTACGAAACCCAGTCTGGCGTCCTTCTTAAAACCTAAGGAAAAGCAAGTGGTGAAGTACGAACCGAAAAAAATAGACACAGGGACTCTCTTGAAGTACAGACTCCCTGACAGCAGCTGGACCAATTCCGTCCCGAGAATGCTGAAGAAACCGAGAAGCAAATCGGAGACCAGGAACTTCGTTCCTATGGCTTACAGATACATAGATACGACACAAGATTATCCTGTTTCCTACAACGTCAATTCACAGCGCAACTATGACAAGCTCAGTTATACCAGCAACCATTTCCAGCAGAATATGCACACCAGCTACGGACAAAACCTGGCCATGTCCAACTACCTTAGAGGAGAGAACAACTCACAGAACATCAACAACAGACTGTTCGGGCTGAGCCCGAAACTGAGGGAATTCGCCAATTCCGAAGACTTCAAGAACGACAGCAGATGGGGCAGTGCAAATGAAATCAGTGTAACAATGAACAAGGACAATAATCTGAAAAGTGTTATAAAGAACAACAGAGACGATGCTAGCAAGAAGAAGAATGAGAAGAAGGTTACATTCAGCGCGTATACCACGGTGCAGGTTGTTTAGGGGTCTACGTCAACTTGCTCGAAATTTTTGATTGACAATATGAATATACAGGGTGCTTCTAATTCAATCGGTGTTATTGGCTAAAGTAATAAATTTCATTTATAAGATATTTTTGTTGACGTGATGTGTTTTTACATTATGTAATATTTAAATAGTTGACTGTAATAATAGCGATGTTAGCAATAACGTATTCTTAAATTGGAACACCCGGTATAAATGTTGTATGTTCATTAAGTAGAATCAAAAATTTGTTGAGTAGCACTTTCTTGAAACTATAAAGAAACTTTTATCACCACTCTCCTATTAATTTCATATTTTCTCGAAAAAATATGAATTTTATTCTTGGTTAAATATGCAGGAAGTAAATGTAAGGAAAATTAAGAATATATTTTTTCTTAAAGTTATATTTAAAGGAAGCCAAAGAAGATTACTTCAAACAACTAGACTATTACGTTATGTTTTATTTATCTAAGATTAATGAATAGCGCACCATATATTTTGCCCGTCCTGTATATTTGATGTTACTTCATCTTATGATGCCTGTACCTTTCATGCTTTCGTTAACAGTTCTATTAGGTATGTTATTTAAAATACGCATATGTATCATAACGTGTACCTACCACTACGCTGTATGTAAAGAAAGATATCGTCTGTATATTACGTTTTAGTTTGTATATATGTAACTGTATAAACATTTTTTAAATAAACTGCATACGTATATACCAGATTTTTATTTAAAAAAATTATGCACCAGTTTGATACTGAGTTTTTCATATACATATTTTCAAAACTTAACCATCGCTACCCCTTAGAAGAAGGACATCATATTTAGAAAGCATATTGAATTGCAAACATTTCTGGTCATCTGGTATGTATATTTTGGGGACAAGAATATGGGAAAAATCGATATATGTTTGTCACTGGCTTCTAAGGTATCTACCCGCGAAAATAGGACGGAATGAACATAGGAATTCCATTTTGTCACAATGTTTTAAGGAAAATAATGGTAAAAAGAAAGAGCTAGGTTTTCAGGTGGGCTTTCCTAGCTACAAAAAAATAGATTAATACAAAATTGACTAGCCCACCTTCGTACTGCTATATGGAGTCACTGCGAAGGAATGCAAGGTATAGGGTTATATAATTTTGTTAGGTTATTACTACGATGAAATAGTGAGATCAATCCTAGAGCATTTCCGAGATTAAGAAGGTGGGTGGGAGGGGCGAACCGACAAGATAACAAGTACTTGTTAGTTATAAAGACATAAAGAAGGAGTCGCCCTATTTGGGTTTGGGGTTTCCACACTGTGCGTTCTATTTAAGGGTAGAGTCTCGAGGTTAATTTATTAAAGAGTAATATCTTGCTTTCCAATTTTGCATCCATGCGCGATTCCCTGAATCTCGGAAATCACATCGTGTACAACATGAGAAAGTATATCACCCTGTACGACCTACCAATGGATTAAACTCGACGTGAGCAAAAGAATGGTAAGTATCTGAAATTCACTCTCTGAATGTACAACATTTCTAAGATCCCACGTAACATAATTAAAGTGTAAATGATAATTTATCAGCTCCCTTTGGAGAAATTAACTTAAATCAGGTTACAAAAGTTTCGTCCTTAGGCAGTCACTACGTATAAATCTTCAACACATTGGATTAATTTTTTTAATTTAATTAAGGAAACGTCAAAACACAATTTCCACTCTGTTGACGAATCAAACGCTGGGGTTGTTTATATCTGTTTTTTTTTTTCAAATTGTGTCTACAACTCAAGACATACACGTCGCATTTTTGTTCTATGGTTTACATGTTCATTGTTTACATGTTAATTTTTGTTGTTTTACTTATTTTACTTTTCCAATTTCATTTTAAATTTCTTTGAAATCTGTGTAAATTCTAGGTTATTTATTTTTATTTGTTCTGTTTTTCTTGTTTTTTTTCTCAAATTAAATGATTTTTCATTTTTTATTTATCTATTACAACATTTACTTATTTGTTATCATTTTATTTGTTTGTCTACATTTTTAATTCATATATAAAAATAATAACATAATAATAGTTTTACAGTTTCGTATTTTTGGATTACATAACCATTGAGAACTAGATGCTAGACTTCTTGATATACTTACACATACTCTAATAGATAATTATTTTTGGAGGAATGTCGTTAGGTAAGCTCTCCTGATAAAATTATTATCAATGTATCAATGTGTGGAAAATTGTGAGCGTTCCAGGACGATATTTGCAAATATCCCATTTGATGCATGCACAATATGATCTATAGTCTGTACCTGTGTTTATGTTTGGGTAATAAAGCACCATTTAATCTAATTTTATATTATTTTAATAAATTGTCGGTTTGAGACTGTATGGTATCATTTTCTTTTTTTTGGGGGTTTGCTTAGAACTGACTGTGTACAGCTGCTAGAAAAATAATTCTAATGATCAACTTTTTTTTGCAAGAAACGAAAACAAAAAATTACGAAATTGTATTGAAAAAGGCTACTGTAAAATGGACGTAATAGAAACACTCTTGGAATTTTGACAGTTGGGTAACAGCTGTACAAGGTGTCACAGATTTATTCTGAAAAAAATTGGGATAGGTAGAACCAGTAAAATATCACCTGTTCAAAAATATATGTATAAATAGGCACAATATTTCCGCCACTGGTTGACTTTGTATTTCAACACAATGTATTTTTCTGTGTAATTACTTACATTACCAGTCCAATTCATTTATTTTCAATAATTTTAAAGATATGTAAGTAAATGTGGTACCTATTTTTTTAACTTCGAATCGGAACCGATTGAGATTGCGGAAAAAGTGTCTACATATACCTACCAAAGTTCCATTATTTTTACTGATTTTACTTTTTCTGCAGACAAATAAGGCGCTGTTCTTCTTGAAATAGTCTTTATCCAACAAATCGAATCGTTATTGATTAACATACAGTTTTACTTTTTAAGTAATGAAATACGGGTTAAGGTGAATTTCAAACATCAAAATATGCCGATATCATTTGGTTGATATTAAAATAATTGTTAAAATGTCAAGCTTTATTTCAATATTCTGCCGAATTTCATCGAAGTAATGCACAATTTTTTTTAGATATACATTAGTATGCTTTTTAAAATAAAGAATATCCAAAAAGAAACGCAGGATTTCACATGAGGAAACAAAATTTGATTAATTAAACAGTTGCCAAAGTTTTTAGTGTAATCATTATTTTAGAATTTAAATGCGGGTTACTTTTTCAAATTTTTTTTCATAGTTAGGTTTAATACGTATATTCAAGTGAAATTTTGGTAAAAAAATGGAACATGGTAATTTTATATTCGACCAAAAGTTGTGGTAAACGATAGGCTGCCATTTATTTTACACATATTTGCTATTATCCCTTAATTTGGGTAAAATAAGGTAACATTATTTTAAAAAATAATGTAACATCTTATTTAATTCAACGTAACGTTAATACAGGGTGATTCACAACTTATTCAAAAAAATTTGGGAATAAATGCGGCATGAGAAATGGAGTCAATATCGTAAAAAAATTTTGTAAAATCCTTATGGTTTCCGAGAAAAAAATTATTTAAGTTGTAGTACTTTCAACTGTAGTCTCTAGCGTCATTTGTAATATGCGTGGAGAGCCACGTGACCTCAGCGGCTCGGAATACTGAAATCCGATTTTACAATCGTCGTTGCAATAATGTTTACAATAGTGTTAGGGTAGTTAGTGTCAAAAATGGCTTGCGTGTATAGCAACTCGGAGTTGATGAATATCGTTTTAATTTATGGTGAAACAAGAGAACATTTATTAGTTCTTAGAAACTGAGTAAGACGGGCTCAAATGCGTTTACGCGGCGGCGGACAAAATTTTGAACAGTTGTTGTAACATCAGGTATGTCAAATTATTTTATTAACTAAAACCACAAATTAATATTTTATTAATAAATAATAACAATAAAGGCAAAAGTAGTTGAATTTGCTGATGATAGGTGCTATAAAATTCTATTTATTTCTTTCCTTGCGAAATTCTTTCAAGTTTTTATCCGTTTTTATCACACTTCGTCGCCGGCCGTTCCGGTCACATTGTGCCAGGCCAGGTTTTACAAAAGTGGACAAGTATCCAGTGTCGTGCAGAAGTGTATGTTTAAATCATTTTCGAACTGCCCTTTTTGCTTTTTTTTATAGAATACCACAAATAAATGTTAACTAATAAAATTAACTCAAAATGGAATGATAAATTATGAACTGACAAGTTGACACAATGTGATAGTTTTTTCCAAAGCCATTTCGTGCGACCGAAAATAATAAAAATTATGTTTTTCTAGATATGTTGCTATATCTTAAAAACTAACAACTTTAGATGTAGAACATGCTTAATAAAAGTTGAAGTGGACTGATATGTGAATAAAAAAGAACAATAAAATACAGGGTGATCCATTTGAAAAATTTTAGAAAATCAAGTTTGAACTTTCGTAAAATGATCGTATTATAAATAATGCCCTGTATAATATATCGATATTAGTTAATATAGGAGTATTTGCCTAACATTTGCCTATAACTCTGCCAAATATTTTTGCTCCAAGTCTTTGTAGTTGAAAGTTAATACAACTTCTTCGAGGTCATGTTTTTTCCAAATTCGAAGAATTTTCTACATAACTTGGCAACCTCGCACTAAAATGTTAAACTGTTTATATGGCCATATATAGAATTTTCTCAGAAATCCATATATTTAAAAATATACAGGGTGTTCCATTTAAAAAATGTTAATATTTAGCGTGTCCCGTTTTTACTCATTGCCCTGTGTGTTTCAAATTAATTTTGTTCTTCAGGTTTTTTGATTATGTATAACTTTTATATAAACTGTTTTTCTGTATTACGAATAAGTTATTTTATTTTCTCACACTAATAGCCCACCCTGTATATTATATGTCACTTGAAACCAAGTCTGGCTAACTGCTGGAATTAATTATTTTGCTTTTACTAGTTTTGTTTCTATTGGCACTCCATTCTGCAACATCAAACGATCCTACTATTTGTTCATATTTTCTTAACAAATTTTAAATTTTTTCAATTGATTTTAAAAAATATTATAGCCTTTGGGCTCCAAATAATTTTTATATTTTTATGGAAAATATCTTCAGTCTCTCCTCAACTATGTTTTAAATAACATAAATGCCGTTCAACTGAAACCTTAATCCCATTGTATTCATGAATATTTACCGGACACATGCTTATTAAATAAAAAAATCCATCCGTTTCACCCTTAAATTTATTACCATGACTGAATCATTTCCGCTTGGTGTAAAATACATTCCTAGTCACTGTCTGCAGACAAATAAGGCGCTGTTCTTCTTAAAATAGTCTTTACTTTATTCAACAAATCGAATCGTTTTTTAATAACACACAGTCCTACTTTTTAAGTAATGAAACACGGATTAAAGTGAATCTCAAACATCAAAATATTCCGCTATCATTTAGTTGATATTAAAATACGCTATTTTAATATTCTGCCGAATTTCATCGAAGCAATGCACAATTTTTTTTAGATATGCTTTAGTATGCTTTTTAAAATAAAGAATATCCCAAAAGAAACGCAGGATTTCACATGAGAAAACAAAATTTGATTAATTAAACAGTTGGCTAAGTTTTTAGTGTAAACATTGTTTTAAAATTTAAATGTTTGCGGGTTAAGTGT